TACAATATTGAAACGTAGGGCACATTTGAACTTTTCAAAAGGATAGGAGATGGATAGACGTCAAACCACGACTGACTCGATGGTGAGAGCTGAACTAGATTACGAAAAAGAATGCCGATGCTCCAAAATTTGGCGGAGAGTGACGATGCGGTTGATGCAACCTCGACCAGGTCTAAAACCAGCCTGGTTCTCATGCGTACACTGTTCACGAGCGGCAGACGATCGACAGAGTATAATACCAGCGAGAAGTTTAGAGATGATGTTGGTTAAACCAATTCCTCTGTGGTTCTCACAGGAGGACCTATCGCCTTTCTTTTAAATCGGTATGATGATCGATTCATATCATTCAGCTGAAACCTCTGGCCTTTCCCATATTGAGCCCAGGAGTTTCGTCATCTCGAAGACTAACGCTGAGCCTCCATCCTTTAACGCCGATGGAAACAGCCCATCTGGGCCAGAGGTTTTATACCTTTTGAGATGACTTATTTCGTGAGAAACTTCCATTTTAGATGAAGGACTAGCATCAACTGGGGGTACTTGCCCAGATGTCAGATGTTGACGGTGTGGGGGTGGGGGGCAGTTGAAATGAACCTAGAATTGTTCAACCCATCGATCAAGACAGCGTTGCTGATGGTGAATCAGTGTTCCGTCGGATTCCTTAATTACCTCATGCCTATTTTCCTAGGGCCTGTATTCCTAAGGTAGCGACCATTACCAATAGCTGCAGCTTCCTCCTTCTCTTTACACTTTTCTATCCATCACTTCTCACGGTTATTCCTCAGACTGTTGATGATCTGGCGTTTAAGGTATTTGCGTGCTGTGTCATATGTGGTATCGGGAGAGAGGGTTCTGCGGGTGTCCAGCGGGGTAGCCGAGGTTGACGAGATCGATCGTTTGTGTTTTGAGTCCAATAAGGCAATATTATTGGCATAAGGCTCTGTCTCTAGGATGAAGCTCGACGCCGGCGTTTGTTACCCGCCTTGTAGAACATCCCCTATGGCAAAGCTAAAGAAAAACGGAGAGATAGGACAACCCTGTTGCACCCCACTGGTGACAGGAAATGAGAATGAAAGTTCCCCGTAGGCCCTGAACTTCCCCGAGTTCTGGTGATAGAACGCTTTTAGGAATAAAACATGCTTCTCGGGTACTCCGTATCTCTGTAAACAGTTCCACAGTGTAGGGTAATCGATAGAGTCGAAAGCCGCTCTGATTTCCAAAAAGACGACAAGGATTTGCCGTTTGTATTGATGGCGGTGTTCTAAGAGCTGATGGAGGGAAAAAATTTGATCTATACAACCACGGCGTGCATGAAACCCGGCCTGCTTATTGCAGATTTGCTTCTCACGAGATGGGTGTAACAATCGATTTTCCCCATGTGTGGGGATACGCTTTCAGTTTTCGAGACCTTCAAGAACAGTCTCACTAGCCCTGTCACGAGAGCTCCACCCTCTTTAAAGAGTGCAGGTGGCAGGTTGTCTGATCCAGCTTCCTTATGGTTTGGAGTTCCTTTCGGATCTCCGCTTCTGTGGGCGGTCTCGTGGATAGTGGCCAGAGTTCACTCGGGAAAACTGCTTGGGGCAGCCAGCGCGGGGACTGGTTGAACTGCGATGTGAAGTGCTCTGTCCAGTGTTTTAAGCGTTGGTTAAGACTGTTTATTAGCATGCCGTCTACTTCGCAGATTGTTTCACTAACGCACTCTTTTGTAGCCTGTAACACGGATGAGCTGGAATAGTCTGCCGGGTGTTTCCATACCTAGCTACTGGTTCCATCTTTG